ACGGTAATAATACATGGAGTATCTCTTACAATTCTCAAGCTCAGTTTACCTGAAAAACGGGGGTGAAGTGAGTATTTTACAGATCAGAAAACTGAAAGTAGGAGTGGGAAGAAAGCCATAAAAGGTTCCCCAGCTTGGCTTGGGCTCAGAGTTGTGAGACCACATTTCATGGAGGAGCATCTTCCTAGGTATAAGAATACAGTTGAGTACCAGGCTTATCCCAGCCCACAGACCTTTACGTACCTGCCTCCCAGGGTTCAGGCATGGCCAGCCTGGACAGTTCCCCATGTGGACAGGAGAAGCAGGTTTGTGTCACTCTTTAACTGACCCTCTCAGCTCTCCAGTCTGCATGGCTGGATTTACTAAACTCCACCCTTATACACACACAGAGGCTGGGCCTGCCTCTGGGAAACCTCTGGGGCATAGCCTCTTGGGTGCCCACACCCCCACTAACTGCCCTTAAAAGCCACTCAGGCAGGGCTGGTGAATGGCTCAGTGGTCTAAAGCACCTACTCAGAACAAGCTTAGCAAAGCACAGGGACCGCCGTTCAATCCCCCAGCACCACATGCCAGCCAGCCCCGCCCCCTGGTGGGCTGAGCTGCCCCCCCACACACACGCATAAATAAATAAAATTAAAAAAAAAAAAAAAGCCACTCAGGCAAAGGCTGCATAGCTGCTCCCCACCCTTAACCTCTCTGCAATTCCTTGTTGATGCTTCCATAGGCTGTTTCTTGTCTGGCTACCTCCATTTGTCTGTCTGCCTGTCTAGAGGTTGCCAATCTGACCTGTGACTGGCTTCCCTGGCCCCAGCCTGGTACTGCTATGCTCAGAGACTGTGAGGATGGGTTTGGGTAGTATTTCTACCATATACCCATTGAGGCATCCTACAGCAACCAAGACCATCTAGACCTGCCAGACCTTCACTTAATGGCCACACTAGAGTGGAAGGAAGTGGCCTGATGGAAGACCACCAAACCAGGGATTAGGAAAGTAGGGTACAGAGGTCCTAAGGTAGGAGCCTAAAAGATCTCTTACCCTTCTGTAGGACAGATTCCAGATCAGACTTGGGCCCTCCCTGGCCTTCTGCAGCCTAGGGCTCAGCTCCATACCCACTCTGTGACCTAAGATGGGACTAAGACAAAACACAACCAGAGGAAAAGGTAATCACGGACATGTGGTCACAACTAGGGGCAAGGAATCAAAGATGTGTCACAGAACACTCTAATCATAGAATAGCAAAGGAGTCCCTAAAGGAAAAAGGAAACAAGAAGTACCAGGGAAAGTATCAGTAACGAGGCAACATCTTAGGATAACAGAGGGTGCCTATGCCTGGCAAAGTAGGTAACATCGACAGAATAAAGAAAAACACCCAGAGAAGACTAGGCCACTACTTCTCAGTGGGTAGCAAGAATAAGTGAGAGGTGACAGAGTAAGTGTGAAGAGCCTAAAGCTGCAGAGTGGGACACAAAGTGACATACAGTTATCATGAGTGAGTCATCCCAGGTCTCCTTCCTCTAACAGTCTAGGCATCTCAGGGAAACAAGATGCTGTTGAGATGGGAGGGAGCGAGAGGGGCAAGCAAAAAGGTCTGGAGGTGTGGGGGGGGGGATGGGGGACAGGAAAGTGGCAAGGGTCTCCAAGGATGGAATAGGAGAAAGAGCCCATGAGGCCTTAGGATGACACCCCAGGAATATCAGACTTCATTTGCTAGTTCTTTGAGAAGTGGGGCGACCTGGCCCCTCAGCTAGCAAATGACAGGAAGATTAAGACAGGTCATCAGGGGCCTGGGCCATTCCTCACCCCACCCTAACCCTGTTAATTTACTAAATGGGAGGTGCTCTGTGACAGAGGGAGAGCTTATGAGTCCAGTCTCTCAGGCCTTACCTCCTCTAGGCTGTTAGAGGGTCCCCCACTAGAGTAGAGGTGGCCCTTGCACCCCCATTAGGGCAGAGGGCTTTTTTCTGTGCATTAGACCTGCACCCTTCCTGCAACACTTCCTTTCAGAGGGAAGCTGGACTTTAGTGGGGTAGGATGGGGATTCTGAGAGGTGGCAGTGGGCAGAATCCTGGAAATTCAGGGGGTGGAGCCATGAACCTAAATCCCAATAATAGCCTTGAGCGTCCAGGGCACCGCTGCCTCTCTAATAGCTACTAATGGACCCGCGAGAATCACCTGGGCTCACTTAGGCCCTCCTCCCTCAGATTGCACTGTCTCTGAGATCCTGGCTCAGAGAGTGAAAGCTGGGGGTGGGGCAGGAACCTCTGGATAGCGCAGGGTGGGACTGCTTTGCTCCGCCTGCCAGGCCCCGCCCCTCAACCACGGCTCCTCCCATTGCCGGAGAGAAGTCCTTCCTGAAGGGCTGCAACTCGCAAAAGCATCTGCGCAGCGCCTCCTGGCGTGAATGTGTGGATTGCATGGCGGTGGCGGTGTGTGTGTGGGGGGTGTTTCCTGCCCCAAGTTTTGTCCATCTGGCTTCAAGCAAGTCTCGTCCTGAAGGGTGGGGATTGGGACGAAGCCAGTACTCTCTAGCGGGTTGTGCAGCACTGACATAGAAACGAGTGCCGTGGGGAGTTACAGGCATAGAAGCCAGCCTGTGCAGAACTGTTAATTGGTTCTGCCTCTGCACCTTAGATACCAGCACCCACCACTCCGGGCCAGGGTATAACCAAGCAACTTTGCTAAGAGTCTCAGCATTCGTGTGCAAATATTTGAAGACCACTTGGCACCAGGCACTGTCAAACACTGGGTAAATATCTCTGCAACTCAGGGAAATAGGAATTTGTGTACCTTTACAAAGCAAGGGAGCTTAGTTGGGGGCCCTGCAGACATCCTTCAGATTGGGAGCTCTGGATGGTTCAAGAATCTTTAACAGGGTGGGCATGGTGGAACACGCCTGTAATCCCAACACTCAGGAGGATCAAGGTGAGTTGAAAGCCAGCCTGGGCTGCAAAGTAAATTCAGGGCTAGCATGAACTGCATAGTAAAATCCTGGCTCAAAAAAACAAAACCAGGAGCTGGGGAGATGGCTCAGTGGAATAAGTGCTTCCCTGGCAAGCTCAAGGGCCTGAGCTCAATCCCCGGTTCTGCAAATAAATAAATAAATAAATAAGCAAAGAATCTTGTCCAGAGGTCCTACAGGTGAGAGCAAAAGGTAGGGAAGCACAGGGCGCCATGAGTCTGGGCACAGGGCCAACAGTTAGGGGTCATATACATAGGAGGGCCATGATGATATTGTGCAATGGCAGTGATAAGGTCAGGAAATACACTTGTTGGGATTTGTTTGTTTTGTTTTGTTTTTTGAACCAGGGTCTCAATATATAGTCAGGCTGACCTGAACTATGTAACACAAGATGGACTCAACTTTCAGAAAAAAAAAAACCAAAAAAAAACCTTTCAACAAGCCTCCTATCTCAGCCTCCAGGATTATAAGATTATAGGTGTATACCACCATACTTGGTGATACCCATGTTTTAAAAGGTCAGGTTTGGGCCAGGAAGATGGCTTAGTGGAATAAGCACTTCCCTGGCAAGTGCAAGGGCCTGAGTTCGATCCCCGGTTCCTCAAAATAAGATAAAAGGTCAGGTTTGGTGAGGACCAGGGGCAGGAATGGAAGAATGGGCTTGGAGGGAAAAGAGATCCACTTAAGGAGTCCATGGCCTCTCATTCTCCCACCTTAGAACCTGTAAAAGAGCTGGGTAAAGTGAAGGGAATAAATTTAGGGGTTCATAAGAATTGGGAGGTGAAGGGCTGGGGAGATAGTTCAGTGGCATAAGCGCCTGCCTGGCAAGTGCAATGTCCCAAGTTCAATCCCTGGTATCAGGAAAAATAAAAAAATAAAATAAAGGTGGGGCTGGGGAGATGGCTCGGTGGAATAAGTGCTTCCCTGGCAAGTGCAAGGGCCTGGGTTCTGCCAAAAAAAAAAAAAAAATCAGAAAGTGGAATAAAAAGTAGGTCCAAGAAAGGATGTATGCAGGGTCAGAATACACTGTCAGAATGAGGTGATAGAACTGGCTGGTCCCAGAAAAAGCCCCACAACAATGGCCAAAGGAGGCCTCCAAAAGCAGAGAGCAACCGGGGCACAGTGAACCACATACACAGCTTGAGATCCAGGGCCACTGTGGTAGTCTGAGGCCAGACTGACACTAGTTAAAAGGCAGGGATGTAAGTCAGTGGTAAAGCTCTTGTCCAGTATGTATGAGGCCCTGGGTCCAATTTCTACCACCAATACCACAAAAGAAAAAAAGCTGTATCCATGAAGCTGATTGAAGAGGAAGCAGGACAATGGAGGAACCCAGACATTTATGAGAGAGTGGGGGAGCTGCTGCAGGGAACCCACATAGTGAGATCCTTTTTTAATTTAATTTTATTTTTTTGTGGAACCGGGGATTGAACTCAGGCCGTTGCACTTGCCAGGGAAGCACTTATTCCACTGAGCCATCTCCCTGCCCCCCCCCCTTTTGCCACCTCAAGATGCCTTCAGGGCATTTCTGGTATGGCAGGAGTATCTGGGTTCAAACCACAGTATCCTGAGCCTGATTGTTTCGTTTAAGCAGGTACTTAAACAACTGAGCTAATGGGCAGCACCCCCCCCCATCCTTCTTAATTCAAAAGGGCAGAGCACATTTATGTTGAGGCTTGTGCCAATGACTGGAAGTGCAGAGGTACATGGGATTTGCCTCGTCTCTTCCCCCATAGGTGTTCAGAGGATCAGTCATCAGTTCCTGAGGCCTGGTCTAATGAACCTCCTATTCAGGAGTGGTATCACTGGTGGAGAAAGGGACCTAGACCCTAGCAGCATCTTTGCCTTGCTCCCCAATCTGCCCAGCAGTGACACAGATTTCTGCAGCTGGTGAGCAGCCACCACCTTCGCTTGGTGAAGGAAGGGGCTCTTGACATTTGCCAGGGCGTGGGCGAAGCGATGCGCTCCCTGAAGGTAGATGCAAAGTACACATCGGAGAGGAAGAGGGTCACAAGCAGAGGCACAGGAATCAGGCTGATTTTATTGACCAAAATACCAGGCATGGGCCAGAGCAGGAAGTTGCACACCCTAGAGGCACCAACAGCTCCTGGTTCATGCGCAGGGCTGACGCAGGCAGTTAACGTTCTCAGGGTGGTCCTGGAGCCAAGCAGGACTGGTGAAGGCCATTTGCTCCAGGGACCTTGGCTGGGTCAAAGACGAAGACTGCTCTCCAAAGGCTCTAGAAAATACAGCAAGACTCTGGGAAGGGGGCTGATCGCTGCCTCCTGGCTTCAAAAGCAGAGTACTGTCACTGACAGTCTTCCTCTAAGCCCCGGGGGCAAAACAGTTGCAGCACGGAGTTAGGCTGGGGGTGGGGGTGCCCATCACATTTCTATCAAATTTCCAAGCCCTCTTGCCTCCTGCCGTCGTGGATACGCGCGCGCACACACACTCATACACTTACCTGGCTGACACCGCTGAGGTCCAGGAATGGATGCCCAGCCTCTGCTCGAGCTCCGGGGTGGGCAGACTCCGAAGGGCACGGATCGGGAGACCTGTTTTGGGGCTCTGGAGTCGCACCTCCCACAGCTCCTGCACCTCCGAGGGAAGCAGGTGGAGAGCGTTGCGGGCTGCGGGCCGAAGAGCCAGGGTGTTCCAGGCGGGGGGATCTGCGGCCGGGCGCAGCGCGCGGCGCCACAGGTAGGGCGAGCGGCGCAGCCCCATGAGCAGACCGGCCGCGCGGCCCACTGTGTGGTAGCGGGGACTCGCCACGTGCTTGTACCAGGAGCCCGCGGGCGGCGGCAGCAGGAGCAGAAACAGTAGCACCCCGAGCAGCCGCCCGCGCCCAGGAGCCCCCAGCCCCGGGGTCCGAACCATCCGGCTCCGCGCCAGGGCGCTCACGTCTACCGCCGCCCGGCGGGGCGGGCCAAGAACTGGTTCGGTTTGATCTGTGCGCAAGGCGGCGGACCTGGTGGTCTGGTCGTTGGTGAGCGGACGCAAGATACAGGACAAGACTTGGTCCTCCCAGAGTCAGACTATAACCGCTAGCTGGGTGGCCCCGCCCTGGCCCGCCCCCACAGTACCTACTGGGCTAAGGGCGGAGGCTTCTAGGAGAATCTCATTGAATTGGCGCTAGCTGGAACTGCTCTTGAGGCCCCACTGGGACCATCCCTGCTTTCCCAGTGGAGCTTCCAGGGAGGGAACCCTGAGACCACTGGCCTCAGGGCACAGGATGTGGGGGGAAGGCAAGGGATGCTGCCGTGTCCCAAGGTCTTACAAGTAGGGCACTAGCAGAGCCAAGAGGAGGCTGGTTCAGTTCCAGTGGGGTAACAAAGGATTTAATTGGAATCCTGGACACTATTCAAGACACTCCCCCACCCCCCGTGTGTTTCATCTCTAAGAACTGTTGCACCAACCGATTTCTTAGCTGTAACAGGATGGATGCTTGGAAACACCAAATCTGGCCACCTCAAGTACTCCCTGAAGGGGTCAGTGGTTCTCCCAAGACCTCCAAGATAAAGAGGCAGCTCATTCTGCACCCTCAGTTCCTACCCACCCCTGACAACTACCCAGTTACCTTCTTTCTGATCACAGATCACCTCCCACCACCACCATTTTGCCAGTCAATCTCATTTATTTTGATCTTAACCAACAACCTGTGATTTGCCCACTTCTGTACTGAGAACATCATTCATTTTCCTCTCCATCTGGCAAACTCCATCCTTCAGGACTCCACTAAAATGGTCCTAGTCTGAGGCTGGGGAGATAGCTCAGGGGCTTAAGTGCCTGCCTGGCAAGTGCAAAAATTAATTAATTAATTAATTAGTAACAAAATAGGGGGCTGGGGAGATGGCTCAATGGAATAAGTGCTTCCCTGGCAAGCGCAAGGGCCTGACTTCAATCCTCAGTTTCACAAAAAGAAAATGATCCTAGTTTGAACAGACCCTTCAAGCATTCTTCTAGGACTACCTAGGTTTAGTAGACCTCTACCAAAGAACAGGACCTAAAGTAGTCTGTCCTGACCCCACACCCCAACCCAGGGTAAATCCAACCCTCAAAATAATCTGGCTCCCTCCTTCAGCAATCAGGCTTTTCTTGGACCAGCTTTTAGATTCCACAACAACAATCTTATACAGCTCTGATTCTCAGAGATTCTCCTGCTTTCAGCCTCCCCAGCGCTGGGATTATAGGCCTGTGCCACCACGCCTGGACTCGGGCTTGGTGATGCACTCACACTCGATTCTGTGGCCCGCTTGGTATGCCTGACAGGGGAGGCCAACGTGACATGTGATGTCAGGGATCAAACCCCTGTCCTTGCTCTAGTCTAAGAAGGCACCTAGTCCACTGAGCTATCTCACTAGCCCTTCTGGGGGACTATTTTTAAAATGCCTTTTAGGGGCAGGCATGGTGGCTCATGCCTGTAATCCCAGCACTCAGGAGGCTGAGTCAGGGAGATCTATGTGAGTTCAACACCAGCCTGGGCTACAAAGTGAGCTCAAGGCCAGCCTGAGTTACATAGTAAGATCCTGTCTCCAAAAAAACATATATCGGGGCCAGGGAGATAGCTCAGTAGAATAAGTGCTTGCCTGGCAAGCACAAAGTCCTGAGTTCAATCCCTGGTACAAAAACAAAAGACATACACACAGCCTTCTAGAGGCTGAGCATGGTGGCATATACCTGTTATCCCAGCATTAGGAAGGCAGAGACAGGAGGATTTCTGGAGTTTAAGATCAGTCTAGTAAGAGCCAGTGAGATAGCTCAGTGGATTAAAGCACCTTCTTAGGCAAAGCACAGCAGCCGGGATTCAATCCCCAGTATGCAATATTGGCCCCACCCCTGGGATGCACTGAGACATGATTGAGACTGGGCATGGTGATGTGCACCTGTAATCCCAGTGCTTGGGAGGCTGAAAACGGGAGAATCATTGAGTCTGATCTGTGTAGTGAAACCCTGTAGACCCTGTACTAACTACAAAAAAAAAAAAAAAAAAAAAAAAGACCAGCCTAGGTTACTTAGTGAGTTCAAGGTCAGCCTAAACTACATAGAAAGATTGTTTTAAAAAGGAAAAAAAAAAAAAAAAAAGGTACCTTCTAGGAGCTGGGCATGATGTCACACTCCTGTAATCCTAGCAATCAGAAGGGGTTTTTTTTTTTTTTGGTATATCTATTTATTTTATTTTATTTATTTATTTTTTATGGAACCAAGAATTGAACTCAGGCCCTTGTGCTTGCCAGGCAAGCACTTATTCTACTGAGCTATCTCCCCATTGCTGGGATTATAGATGTATGTCACCATACTAGACTAAAGATTGGTTTTTGAATATTGTAGCCAGTGATGCCTTTCTTTCTTTCTTTCTTTCTTTCTTTCTTTCTTTCTTTTTTAATCTTTTATTTATTTATTTGGTACAGGGTCTTACTAGGCATCTCAGACTTGTATTGAGCATGTGGTAACAGGAATGGAACCCAGGTCTTTGAGCTTGCCAGGCAGGAGCTTAGACTGCTGAGCTATCTCCCCAGCCGAATGATGTCATTCTTGCCTATGATCACTCCGATATAAAACTACATCCACACTTCAGTGGCCAATAGACCATTCAGCACAGCTTCCTTGACTGTGAGCTACTTGAAGCTACCAGTTTGAGCACCACTGACTGTTTTCTTCAGGTCCTAAATAGCTGTATTAATCTCAGCAGGGTTTGGAGGAACCAGCCGAATCTTGGGTATAGTGCTACAGTGTGGCCAATCTTGCCTTCAAATAAGTCACAGAAGTGTTCACCAATGCTGGGTGAGGGGCGATCCTCTGCAAGGTTATAGGCAGGGCCATGATTCTAGGATGGAAGGGCTATCACCCAGAATAGCTGGCTGAATGTCACAAAAATGCCTTATTTTGACTTTTAAACAATGCTATGGAGGGGAGCCAAAATCCTAAGAATTGATTTGTTCTGGAACGTCTGTGGGGAACACAGTGGGAGTAAGGTGCAATCAGATCCTTAGTAGAAAGCCTCAGGTTGGCAGAATGAAGAATGTCTGTCTTCAGGGACACAGAGGGTGTAAGAGACCGGGAAAGGCACCTGCTCTTGGAGCAGGAGAGCAATGGGGGCCTGGCAAGCCCCTGGAGAAGTTTACAACTAGCAGTAGGCACCTCTTGAACAGTAGCCAGAACTTGTGAGAACCTGATCCTGGAGCCTGGTGGCTGGATTCAAATCTGTCTCAGGATTGATTGTATGTGTGTGTGTGCAGGGCGGGGCGGGAGGTGGGGAGGGTAAAGTACCACAACCTCTTCTGCCTCAGTTTCCTCTTTTGAAACTGGGGATAGTAATAGTGGCTACTTTGTCATTTTATTGCATTAATAATCCAGTTGTGGGGCTTGGCACCCATTAGGTGCTCAATAAATACTCGTAGCTAGGACCCGTTGCTGCTGTTATAGAGGCTGGCCAACCCCCAAACTGTCAGGAAAAGGACTGAGATGAAGGTGCAAGCAGGGGAATGCAGGGAAAGTTGCCTGGCAGCCTGGAACCTGGAGGACCACTGGGACTGGGCCACCAAGAGCAGCCCCCACTGTGCTCTCCTGAGACTTCAGGTCCTTGACAACCACCTGGAGTGTGTGGTGGGTGGTACAAACCAGAGTCATGCTGCCCAGGGGCCCCTAGTGGTGTCGCCCACTCTGAATCAAGGACCCCCAGGGGACTGTGGCTCAGCTACAAAGGATCTCAATGTCTCATAGAGGTAGCCTGGGGAATACAAAACAGCATGAAAAGAATTGTTTATGCTGTGATGGAAGTCCACTGGCAGTTGAAAAATTGAAATACAGCATGAATAAATTTCAAAAACAGTGATTCACAAAGTGAGAAGCTTCTTGTGGCTTAAAAAATGGCAGCATGTTCTGCCATCTTATTTATGACCCTCTGGCCTGAGGAAGTGAAGATAGCAGGGTACAGTGAAAGGATAAAGGCTGCATGGCACAGAGGAAGGGAATGCCCATAAAGTAGGGTGTGGAAAGGCAGGGCTGGGCCAGGAGAGCAAAAAATAAGATTATACCCCTGGTTTGGGATGTAGAAGAGCTTCATGCCCTACCTCACATGGAGCTCAATGTGCCTGATGACAAAGCCTTTGAGATTGGGAGCCAAAGCTCCACTGGGGCAAGTACTAGACTCTGAAGATAGATATAGTAATCCATGAAAACCGACCCTCCTTCCTGGGCTTACCTCTCATTTTTCCCCCAAAGACTCCTCTTAGAAACTAATCGGTCATGGCTAGGGCTTTTGCACAGACCATGGCCCTGATCAAGACCTCTGCAGTAAAGACACAATAAATGAGCAAATCCCTTTTGTCAGTTTTCTTCTTATTTATTTTTGTGGTGCTGATGATTGAATCCAGGGCTTGGGCATGCTAGGTATTCTACCACTGAACTACATATTCAGCCTCTTCTATCATTTATT